GGCATATATTTCACAGAGCGGAAGTTTTTCGGGATTTCTGTGGGAGATTGAGGATATATAACACAATATAATCTTATTTAAAACATTGTGTCTCGTAGCAAATTAGGATATAATTTCAATCCAATTTCTCTTATCCAATTATAACCATAGATATATTTACATTGATGTACGTTTATATATGTACAACAACGACGCATTGCTACCAGATCGAATTGAACAATTTCATGGCTGCAATCAAGCAAAAAAAAAATGATCAGTAGTAAATGATAAGCGTGGCTTGCCTTACTAACAAAGCACCTTGATTTCTTCTGAATTGGGTTTTCTTAACTAGTATAACATTACAATCAGAACAAAATACTCATAATGCATTCAATGTGATCCTTGAATGCTTGCCAACGTATGTTGTAAAGTAACTTGACTCTGGTTTAAAAGTCTACCCACTGTAAGGGCACGAGTACGTTATTTAAAGACATTGACAGACTGGTAATTTTCGATCACGTGATAGTGACGTAAGTCGAGATTGTTTGCAAAGGGCATATTATTGTACGACGAAGAAGAAGGAAGGAAGATACTATTTTACATAGATCTGCCTTTTATTTTTAACATTTTCTACTTCAGGACTGTTGGCATGAATAAGATAGACAAGTCATAGAACGTGACATAGTACCACGGTAAGTAGACCGTTTCATTGTTTACATGTTAAAGTTGATTCCAGTCAAAACATAACATGATTTGTAAGGAGTGAATCTCAGTGCTGAGTTAGGATATATCTTTCTTCTCTAAATGGCTTCTCCAGAATCACGGAACACTTCCCGCCGGGAGAGATTGTTATGCAGGACAATCTCACCTTTCCAGACCAATTAGTTTTCGTTACTTTCTCCATACTATCTTATGGACCTTTCTTTGGATGTGGTGTCTCCTAAGTTGTTGTATTGTTTGTCCTGTCACTTAGCGTTTTGTTCATCATTCAATTACATCACTCAAGCATCTTAACTTCGTTGATGTAACAATTAAATCACTCAAGCATCTTAACTTCGTTGATGTAACAATTCCATCACTCAAGCCTCATAACTTCGTTGATGTAACAATTACATCACTCAAGTATCTTAACTTCTTTGATGGTACAATTACATTCTCCTTGTTTGTTGAGGTGGTGCTGTAATATACATTTCTTACATTACCGCTGTGATATGAATTCCTGCCTTTGCATATGGAGATACTATGTTCCTCTCTTGGCCTTGGATTTTTCATACCTTGCAGCACTTTTAATAAATCTAATCAATACATAAAGAAGCGAAAAGAAATCAAACGTGTTCTGAGTGTAAACAGGACAGGTTTTGAGCCCTGGACATCCGTTACCCATATACTTTTGCTCTGATCAAATCTGGAAATTGAAATACATTTCATTGGTCGTTTTGTTTTTCTATACATATATATATCTAAAGCGATAATAAGTCGAAAAAAGAACTACAGCTACGATCATTATTAAGTGATCGACGACTAGTTACGCGTCAGTGCGTTTCGACAATATACCCAATGTCTTGATTGTACCGCCTGTTATATATGTATATAGTTCTTTACATGATCTGTACAGTACCAGAGACGTATAATACATAATACGTCTCTGATATAACTAACAGGCATTATATACAAAATATAGACACAATTGCTATTCCAAGGCTGGATCGTTTGTCTAGTAGGCAATACCTTCTGACACAGACTGATTTTATCATAACTGTGTCCTGAGCTTATTTTTATATGTATGTGTATTTTGTCGGGCAGCGTTCTTTTGTAAAAACTTCCTAACTGTACAAGTAGCCTTACAATAAAGTTAACCAGGAGCTCATTGGTTCTTGCGATTTTATCCTCAGTATATTTACTTTTGGCATTTGCTGTGCAAAAATAGAATACAACTATATATTTATATCTCGCCTCCAGACTTTCTACGTCTCTTGGCTGTTGTGTGTCATGTTAATTTGTATAATCTCGTGTTATATTAACATCACGAACCTGTATTTATTAGATATACTGATCGTCCTCCTACTGGTAATTGCCGTTCTTGAAACTTGTCCTACTGTGTCCTTCAACTATTGAACTAATCTGAGGACTTAAAGGAACGTTAAAACCTCGTGATGATTTTATGTTTTGTTTTGTTATAGTATACAATATGGACGACCTGATAACATATCGCGCAAGGATTGGCATGTTTTCAATGATTCGTGCTTTAAAATCATTCAAAGTGAAACAGAACTCAGGTAAAAGGCAAGTAACGATTCGCCGCAAGAAGAGTACTTGCGAGAGGATGCCAAATAATACTGTTCCTACCAAATCAACAGCTAATGTTGGACATATTTCTTTTTATATATTATTCATTCTCTGCTTAATTATATCCGGACTGGACACTTGTCCCATAATTCATCAACGCCTGCTACCAGACATGACTGGATGGACATCCTCTTCGGTTTGCAAAGTACCTTGTTATATTTCATTTGTACCTCAGCCAGGGATGGCAACCTACGTCGTTTTTAACTGCAGCTGTGACCCTCTCCTAGGTAATGCTGGGATCCACAGTTACAACGGCAATCCGAGAACTCATAGCTGGTAAGCAGACTCTTTTGTATTTACCAAGATATAGGTAACTCCTTTGTAAGCATTGTTTGAAACTACCCGTTTCATCGCCACTTCATTTATAACCTTACTGTTGAAGTCATTCGTCATATCAAAGAGAGAATTGAAGTTGCAAAGACAGAGGGTCAGAGTGCAATATCATTAATTCACTAGGAGAGGCATTCGCTAACTTTATGTATTTTTCGTGGAAAAGAATTTCCAGAAAAAAATCCTATCAATACTGAAATATCTTTTTGATTGCGAGAGTTCAAATAATTGTAAATATTATACAGGCGCATTCTTGCGAAATAAAATGGACGCAAACAGTTTAGTGATTCGCAGTATTTTCAACAATGTACCCTATAATTATGGATACAAGTGGTGACTATTATTCCCTTTTTAATTGCCAGTTGGTTTGATTTCAAATGACTACTATTTTTTTAACTTACATATATACTTAAATGATCAATTAATACAGATGCATTATACTTTCATTTCAGCAGCAGTCAGGCTTCTGCAGATCAAGGTTTACACAACTTGCTTTCCATACCTGAATTACATTTTGAAATGGTTGACCAGCTTGACAGTTCATTTAAACTGATCAATACATCGTTGTGGAATAAGTTCAAATTTGCGTTGAAATGGAAAACAAGGCTTCCAGGGGACTTGTTAGACAAGGCTGAAGACATGTTTTTTGTATCAAACCTTCTTGAAGAACAAGGAGAGATTAGCCCTGGGTCATATACTAAGCTAAAGGAGTGCTTAGTTGGAAACAACGAATGTCTAGATATAATAAACAAGTTCGAGTATAAAATGAGTAGAACGGCATCATACTGTGATCAAGGGCTAGCAGAACAGAGACCAACATCTAATCAAGGTGAGTATAAACAACAGTTGATAGCTTATAGGTTTTAAAATCCCTCTATAGTTGATTTCTGGGCTTTAAGAACGTCCCAAACCCTTTCCCTCCATTTCCCATCTCCGGGCTGCAATATTTCGTTAATAACAGAACCCGATTGATTTCCAGGCAAATCTCTATAGAGAAGTGCAGTATATCTTTTCATACACATACAGCTTCCTTTAATATCTTATTGGATGTATAGTGTAGCGGATCTGGACCAAGTAGCTACACTGTACCGCTTATCTTGTATCTCAGTAGGATATAGCGACTTAATTGTGTTGCGATTTTCCAGGTTCGAATCCCTATCTGGCACTGTGCATGTTTAATCTCAGAAAGTTCTGTAAATTTATTTATTCTTGACTACTTTTCATAAAAACTCTGCAGTATGGGTTTCTTTTCAGAAACGATATATTAAAGCATGTTTTCATTTCGGTAAAAGATTAGTTAAAATGTTTGTGCGTTTTCCCAAACCCTCCTCCCGACGCCCCGAAACTAAGCAGTGCGTAAAATCTCTCCTTCTAGACTGGTCTCCGAATTTACCATTGCTATGATTGCAATGGCTTTAAATATTTTCGGACATCTTTTTCAAGTCAATTAACAGTTTATTTATGTCCAATATTATGTTTCCATAATGACAAGATTAATTTAAGGTTATCATAATTTAATGTTAAAATTCTTGTACAAATCTGTAGCTTTTGAGTGGGCAAATATTGTCAGAACTTTATCTATCAGTTATGATGCTACATTTCTGTCTACTCAGTTGTAGGTAACAGTGCGGAGGGAAATGAAAGGTTTCCTAGTCCGTGTGACAAGTCCAATTCTACTGTTCCTACTCGAGAAGAAATTCCCATTTCTATTCCCCACGAAGGACTTGTAACTTCTTCTCTTTCTCGCGAAACAATAAACACTGCTTTCCCTCACGAAGGTCAAACTGGCGGGCCATTGACCACTTCATTACCTAATGAAGGGCAACGGATAACTTGTTTTCCTATAGAAGGACCTGCAGCCACTTTTGATCCTACTGAAGAACCGATGCTAGCTTCTTATCCTGTCAAAAGACCAATATCTAGTACTGTTCCAGAAGAAGGAATACTGGCCGCTTTTGTTTCTAAAGAAGGACTAGTAGCCAATATCGATCCTACTGAAGGACAAACGACCAATACTGTTTCTACTGAAGGACAAATAGACACCTCTGTTCTTACTGAAAGACATATAACACCTTCTATTTCTCACGAACCAATGGACACATCTGTTTCTAACGAAGAAAAAATGACCACTACTATTCCTACGGAAGAACCAATGGCCACATCATTTCTCAAGGGAGGACCAATGACAACTACTGTTTCTACTAAAGGACAAAAAAACACTTCTGTGCCTACCGAGTTACCAATTACCTCTTCTATTCCTAATAGAGGACACATGCCCACTGCTGTTCCTCCTGAAGGACCAATGATAACTGCTGATTCAAATGAAGGTCAAAAGACCACTGGTGTCCCTACTGAAAGACCAGTGGCCACATCTGTTCCTATTGAGGAACAAATAACTAGCAATCTTTCCAGTGAAGGACAAATGGCCATTACTGTTCCTGCTGGAGGATTAATGGCCACTGCTGTTCCAAGTGAGGGAAACCAGCTACCACTTACAGGTAGGCAAATATGTAGATATAATTGATAAATATTGACAGTGTCATTAACAACTCACATGTTGACTTTCCTCCCCAGAATATTCTTTGGCCAATGTGCGCTACTATGTACATTTAATGTTTTGAATTTAATTTTTTGGAACGGTTTTATTTTCATTATACCTCCTTCTTGTCTACGTAATGCTTATGTGATTTTTTCTTCTTTTTATAAGTCGACTTACACCAGACTTTCCAACAAACAGACATACAGCAGACACAGTTCACACGTCTTGAACCAAGGATTAAGGTTCAGCATGCACAGAATGTTTTCACCGGCAACAACAACGTGGTGTGTTACGGGGCTGGTGAGTAAAATACCTCTCGAATCAAATTTTTGTGGGAAATTTCACAATTGGTATGTATATCAGTTGTTTAAAGACGGGCAGTCGCCTAATAATGATTAAGGCATAGTTCGAATAAGTAGTTTCATGAAATAGGCTAACGGTTTATTTTAGGATATTTCATTTTACAGATAAAGTATTTTCTTAACTCTTAGCCACAATATAAAAAGCAGTAGACGACAGGCTTCAAATCTGTCGTAATAGTGTTATAAAGCGATATTCATCACACCTGTTCCGAAAGATCATGTTGTACACATTTGACGTACCGTAGCGTCAGCCGTTCATCCGTCCGTTAACACTTCTTCTAGTGACTCTGAACAGCTGATTGGAATTAAACCAAGTTCAATTTCCAGAGAACATCCCTAGATGGTGGTATTCAAAAGTGTACGCAGTGTGGAGCTGATCCTCCATATTTGATATTTGCCCCCGCCCATAGGGACTTAGACCCGGTTTATCAGGTTGAAATAGCTCAGTTCCACCCATATAACCATATATACTATTGCTGAGTAAAGAAGAGATGAATACGCATAGGTTCTATGATTGGCTTCAGGCCAAGTCCCCTTATTTGGTAGTCCCTCGGTCATAACATTGAAACGGTTGAGATCCCCACCCCATAACCATTGGTCATGCAAACTTTAATACAGATATGCTACCAGATATTCAATTGCCGGTCATGAGGAGATAAACAAAATGTTCACCCTACATGCCCTATGCCAGGTATACATTTTTGAGCATGAAAAGTTGGTACCGGTATGCTATTAATATTAGCACATGGGAATGGCCCTATCTCTAGGATTGAGTTCGCAATTCTACTTTATATATGATACATTGCCATGATTGCTAATAGCCAGGTGGACGATACATGCCTTCTAGGCCATATTTTCTTCATGTTAAACCAAACGTTGGTCTTATTGCACCATAGAGAGAGAAATCAGGTACGTGTATCTCCAAATAGTAAATGTAAAAACATTGTCAATAAAAATATTATCTGTAAAGCATCACGGTGCTAGAAAAGCAAACGTGTCAATGCCTGTATAATAATATCAGCATTAAGCTAAAAAAAAACCTTAAGATCAACATGGAATCATTGTATACTGATAATTAATTCGCCTGTAATAACAACGAGATGTTTTCACTTCCACAGAATGACAGACATGAATACATTTTTTACATGCGTGGCAACTTTCCTCCCCTCAGTAAGAACAAATAATTTTACTTGGCCATGTAGTTTTCATGTCATAGATAAGAACCTTCTCTGGATTCTGATCTAATTGGATGGATTTCCTTGTTGAATTCGTCTTGTTAACCAATTAACTACATTCAGACTAGATTATCGTTAAGTCGGTTAATTAGGGCGGGGGGGGGGGGGGGGGGGCATTAATTGAAGGGTTTTTCCCCCCCCCCCCCCCCCTCACAGACCATCGTTCTCGTTATACTTGCTCTGATACATTGCCATGATTGCTTATACCCAGGTTTTAAAAAGTATAGTGATTTTGATATTGGGTTATTTAAAACAAAACCCCTTTTTAATGATACATTGCCATGATTGCGAATAGCCAGGTATTAAAAAGTACAGTGATTTTGATATTGGATTATGTAAAACAAACTTTTTTAATGGTGATATATGGTTTTCCTGTAAATATAGAGATTTTTTTATATGGTTTAAAGGTGTTTTGCTAGCAAGATGGTCCATCAGTTGGTGGTGTTTCATAAAATTAATAAACTATATTCACTTTGAAATATTGTATAAATTGTGAAAATAACTACATTGATAAATTTGTTAAACTTTTAAATACATCATTCTTTGTGTCTATAATCGCATATTTTTTTACATTGAAAATCGGTTATGCATGTCTTCTTAAAAACAGTATGTTTGAAATATATTGGCAGGCCCTAGGCATTTGATTTTAACCGGAATGACTTACTTTGTAATGGTTTCCTAACTAAAAATATTGATCCTATATGAAATCATATACATATTTTCTATTTACTTTAATCATTCGGTTTCTCTTTACAGACGCAGGAGATCAAAATGACCAAGCTAACAATATCCAACAAAAACTGGAAGGTATAGAACAGAGACTACAAGAGAGGAAAGTCCAAGAGAGCAATTACCAGGACACGCTAAAATCTACACAACATAAATTTACAGAGATAATATATGACCAGACGAACAGTATACAACATGCGATGCAAAACATAGAGGAGATTGAGAGGGAGTTTCGGAACACCACGATAAAGCAAACGGCACTACTAGAACAACTTGGATGTGGTAAGCCATGCTTGAAAATTATTGAATGTAATATTTTGAGATATTGTATTTCAAACACTGAGTATGCGTTATTACGGGGTCCGTTCGTCTGCCACAGTACATTACGATTACCATATACCTATAGCTATGTAACTGTAATAATAATAATAATATGCAGCATTTGATACCGCGCCCTATCTAGCTAACATAAGCCATTCTAAAGCGCTTTACAGTACATAGATATACAATTAATACAGTTAACATATACATGTACATTAATCAATACAAATTTTGAGGAATTCGTAGGAGCTGTCTTATCAGGCGCTAACTACTAGTCCTATGCCAATTGGCTAATATCTCCCCATGTGTGTATGCATGCGTGTGTGCTGGAGATATAATGTGTAAGTGGTATAAAGATAATACTCCCATTCCTACTGAAAGTTTTTAATGAATGATAAATTTGGACTACATTTGATGCATCAGGGACTTTTTAATTTTCCTAGGTAACTAGGAGTGGTATGTGGATAATGCTTACATCAGTGATGTAGGTAAAGTTGCTTTAGGGTACTAATCTGACCTATATTTTTCGCTTCAGAAGAATTAGTACAATTAATTTCTACCACAATACGCTGTGTTATTCCACTCTCAGATCATTGTATAAACATGCAGACTGTTGAATAACTATGAGTTATACACCACACGCGGTATATGACCTTCCGTAGTTTTGATTGGTCGAGCAGATGAACCTTGACCAGACGACATTTTTTACGCGCTTTTTGCCGCGTGCTGTATTGTTTACGTCGTCTGCTGTCAACATCCGGCAAATGTTGGTGACTTTTGTAATGTTATGCGATGGGAAAAGGGGGTTATTAAGGCAATACCAAGAGAAAATTATGCTTAAAGATTTGATCGCTAGTTGCAGGCAAAATTGATATCGTTTCGACGCCATACCGTCGCGCGTCCAGGTCGTGAAACCCAGAGACGTAATATATATGTCTCTGTGAAACCCAAAAAATATCTGTAACAGTGTCGGAAAATATTTCGTTCTCCCCATGTCCGGTTATCAATATTTGGAGGGCCTGTCTTTGCCGGAACTTTCACTATAAACGTCACCCATAGAGCCTCACGAAGAAACGTCCCAGGCCTATGGTTTTGGACATTGA